TCATGGCTGTATTCTTTGAAATTTTGTTTACAGAACTGGTGAGGACTGGAATTGGCTCATTTGCTGAAGTTTGCCAACTCCTGCTTTAAATCCTTGAACATATTTATAATCACTGTTTTAATGTCCTTGTCTGCTAATTACATTATCTCTGACATTTCTGGGTCTGTTTCTGTTGACCAATATTTCATCTGTTTCGGGGTTATATTTTCCTGCTTCACGTGTCCAGTAGTTTTTATTGAATGCTGGACATGTTGTATTAAATTGTTGATAATACAGGTTTTATTGTCTTCCTTTATAGAGTATTGATTTTTTTTGTTTGTTTGTTTCTGTGGGCACTTATCTGTGGATCAGTTTGACCTGTTTAAGGCTTGTTTTAAACCCAGTTAAGGCCAATTTCGAGTAGCTTTTACTCCAGGGCAAGTCATACTACTTAGTCATACTACTAAGGCATGACCATTATAGGTTTTTCCCTGAATGCTGAGTCTCTCCAGAGCTGAGAGACTTGTTGAGCACAAATGTTTCCCAGACCTGTGTGAACTCTGGGAATTGTTAAGCTTACAAATCCCTGGTAACTGTTCTTTTCCCACTAGTTGTTCTTTGCCTAGCCTCATGGAGTCTCCCCTTAGCATTTTTTGGCATAGTTTGTATGCCAAAATCTCAAGGGGACCCCTATGCAGATTCTAGAGTTCTTTCTCTGTGTAGCTCCCAATTCCAACTGCCTCAGACTCCCTGAACCTGGATCTCCTTCTCAATTCAGCAAGACCACCACGCTTTGCTTAGGCTCTTCCTCTGATGATCCCTGATCGGATCTTTTTGGAGACACAGAATATGTCTGCAGATGAAAAGCCAGAGTCATTGTATGGTTTCCTCATTTGTACCCCTTCTCCCAGTAATCAAAAGCCCTGTACTGCTTGTGGTACAGTGTCTGAAAAGAATTGTTACATACATTTTGTCCAGTTTTCTAGTTTGCTGTAGGAGTGAAAGACTGATATCAGTTACTTCACCATACTCTAAGGCAGAAAACTTTGAGCTACAAATCAGGATCCCTAGCCATGCTCCCATGAGAGTTGGAACTTGCTGCTCAGAATGTATGTTAATTTTATATTTTATGATGGTTCTATTCAGTTAGCCTTTTCTGTTTATACAATAGCTGTTC